ATAATCTCCGAAGAAAAGTTCTCACTTTCTCTAATCTTCCCTACGCCCTATTTTTTCTACACAACTCCAGAATCATCTGTCTGAAACAGAAAACTGATCTAGTCAGTTTCTTGCTTAGAATCCTTCAGGCATAAGTACATTCAAAGTATCTCCCCACATGATTCTTATTAATTACAAGGGAAAAAATAGTAGTAACTCTACAGTAGAGAAACTGGCAGACAGCACTTAATCAAAGGATCAAAGTAACGTCACTAGTTGTCATAGAAATCAACATCATGTGTTCCTGATCTGATGCACTGAGAATACAATATTACTTCTGCGGTATTTTTGCCCAAAATGAAAACCTCAGTTTAATCATGAGGAAACATCAGACAAACCCAAACTGAGGGACATTTTCATTTTACTGGCCTGTTTCTTAAAATATGTCAAGGTCATGAAAGACAAAAAGACTTTTTCAGACTAAAAGAATCTAAAGAGTCTTGACAACTCAGTGCAACACATGATATTGGATGTTACTTTGCTAAGGGAGATTATTGGGACAACTGGCAAAACTGAAGTAAGTTTTATAGATAATAGTACTACATGTGTTAATTTCCTGATTTTGATGTTTACTATTATTATTTAACAGTGTTGTTCTTTTTAGGAAATACACAGGTATTTAGGGATAAAGGCATGAGGTCTAAAATTTGCTCTCAAAATTTTTTCAGAAAAATTTGAAAAATCTATGTGTATATATAGTGAGAATTATAAAATAAATGTGGTAAAATGTTAACATTTGGGGAATCTGAATGAAAGGTATTTGGGAATTCTTTGTACTATTCTCTCAACTTTTCCGTAAGTCTGAAATCATCAAAATAAAAACTTCATGTCCACCAAAGAAACCCATCAGATGCTCCCCATAGCTTTCAGGTTAATTCTGACTATAGTGTAGTGTACCAGGACCTTTAGTACTTGGCTCCCATCCTCTTCTATGTCCTCATCTTCCAGCACATCTTTACAAAATCACTTTCTGCTTTGTTGCTTTGGTTTGTGCTTTTTTTATCTGCTCCAGAAGGCCCATGCCTTGCTCCATGACACAAAATCTTTTCATTTTCCTAAACTGGTTGTTCTCAATCAGGGGCAATTTTGTCCCCCAGAGGATATTTGCCAATGTTGAGAGGCATGTTTGGTTGTCATAACTGGGGGAATACTGCTGACACCTGGTGGGTAGAGGCAAGAGATGCTGCTAAACATTCTACAGTGCACAAGACAGCTTCTCACAACAAAGAATTTTCTAGCCCAAAATGACTATAGTGCTGAAATTGGGAAACCTTGTTGTAAATGTATCTCGAGAGCCAATTCTGGGAAATCTTTCTAAGCTATCCCCAGTCTGATTTGGGACCCTCTTTTCTGTATTCTTCATACCTTGTGTTTATCTCACCATCAATTATCTCATAGGAACTAGACTTTATTAGGCTTCTTGTACAAATGGTAAATGCTTACTAAATAAATACATATAAATTGGTTTCTAGTAAGGTTTTTGGACAGACTTTTTAAAACCAGGTTTTAGAATTAAAGGGAAAAAAACACTGTTTTTAAATCATCCTTCCCTTCCAGATTTCTGAGGTGATGCTAGGATATTACTGCTTTGCTTTTATATGAGCCAGGACTCTTTTGGTTGTAAGGTACAGAAACCCAATTCAAAGTAGCATAAGCAAAAAGAAGATATTAGTCACAGAACCCACAGACAGGAAAGCAGCTGGGTCTTGCTTAACAAACCAGGTACTCTAAGGCCTCAGGACTCTTTCTAGCTCTCATCTGTGCCTTTTTCACGGTTTCATTCTTTTCTTTCTCTCTTTAGACCTGATTTCTGTATTCTTCAGTCCACATGGCAGCCAGAGAAAGACCAACTCAACTTTCTAGATGCCAAGTTCAGTTCTCAGAGATAGAATTTATTGTTCTCACTTGGGTCACATGCTCACCCCTGGCCCAATTGGCAGTAGCCTAGAGTAAGGTCTCATAGTACCAGGGAGGCAACTCCCATTGGAACCATGTAGACAGAAGGAGCATAATCCCTAGAATGTGGCTGCTGGGTGAACAACACCAAGGGTATCTACTATAGCTCTCAATAATCAAGGTACATATAAAAACAAAGACAGTGTTGGCTGCTGTTGTTGTCTTACTACCATCCTCACTTTTCAGTTCATTGAACTGCAACAAGGAGAATCACTGTGGGCCATAGTTCTGGGTTTTACATTTGACTTCATAATGCCTTTAATATCATCATGTATATACTCACCCTAATCCTTCAGTTTATAGGTTACTCAAGGGAATTATATCCCTTCTATTTTGTTCTATGATGTTGGCTCAGGAACAGCAGATCAGAGGTCTTGAGGGGCGACAAATATATGGTAGATGCCCCCCTCTCCATCCCATTTTATAGGAGACAGCCAGGCCTAGGTGGTTTATAGTGACAATTTCAGAGGGATTGTTAGTAAGCCCAAGTAAGCCCTGAACTTTTGGGTTCTAGAAATGGAGAAACAAGTATATAGAGATGGAGGTCAGAATTATATCATTACACAGGAGGTATCATTGTTCTTACATAAAATGGATTAAAAAAAAAGCATTTCCAAAGAGAGCCTGGTGTATTAGAATTTTTATCAGCTGGAAGAGACAGAAACTCAGCTGAAGCCAGCTTAAACATAATAGCGAATTTATTTGTTCCTGTAACTGAGATGTTCAAAAGATGATTGTGGCTTTGTTCATAGATGAATCCAGAACCTCAAATTGTTTCATCTGGGGCTGGCCCGTGGCTCTCTCGGGAGAGAGTGATGCTGATAACACCAAGGCCATGGGTTCAGATCCCTATATAGGGATGGCCGGTTAGCTGACTTGGGAGAGCGTGGTGCTGACAGCACCAAGTCAAGGGTGAAGATCCCCTTACCGGTCATCTTTAAAAAAAAAAAAAAAATTCATCTGAATTTGATTTCTTAGCTCTGCTTTCTTACTTTATCAGCCTCATTCTATGAGCAAGCCGTCCTCACCAATGGCAGAGATGGTTGCCAGCTACTCTGGGTTGTACATCTTATCAGCTATACAACCCCAAGGGGAAGAGCTCTCCTTGAGAGGTCCGGTAGAAGTCCTAGGCATTACTCTCACTGTCCTGGGTTGGGTCACATGTTCACTAGGAACCAGGGTATGAATCCTAAAGGAAAATTGTAGTATTATTTAGAGAAAATGGGATGCTAGATAGGCAAAATAGTAGGTGTCCACTATACCCTGGCTGCTGGACAGCTCCCAGTTAAAGCAACATTTATTTATTTATTTATTTTTATTATTTTTTCCTTTTAAAGATGACCGGTAAGGGGATCTCAACCCTTGGCTTGGTGTTGTCAGCACCACGCTCAGCCAGTGAGCCAACCAGCCATCCCTATAAAGGATCCGAACCCGTGACCTTGGTGTTATCAGCACCAAACTCTCCCGAGTGAGCCACGGGCCGGCCCTAAAGCAACATTTAAACACACCAAACATCTTATATTTTGTTATGTGTAGAAAATTGTGCTTGGTGCTACATTGGACACAGAAATGAACATGAGTTCCTACTCTTAAGAAATTTTTAGCCAAAGTAAGAATTGATGTGTGCGGGGTATGATTTAATAGAAAAAAAAGAAATTAGTTGTGTACATAAATAATGGTTACTACATGTATTAGTGCCTACTATGTACCAGTAGGCACGTTGCTAAATGTTTTACGTGAATTATCTCTTTGAGGACAACTTTGAGAGAGTCATTTCTATTATTATACACATTTTATCTAAAAAAAAAAAAAAAAAAAAGACTTAGGCTGAGGAAGGTTGTCTAGCCTGCCCCAGGTTACACAGCCAATGAGTAGTAGCACTAGGAATGTGAACCCAGTTGGTTTTGATTTATTCCAGTGCCTTATTTTCACTGGCAATTGATTTATCAAGGCTTCTCTGCAACCCATCACTTTTTCTCTCTCTCTCACCACCTTTTAAAATTGGACAGTCTGATTCTAAATTCCTGAGAACTATCTGATTGACTCAGTTCTTTTCTAGGACATCACAGGTAGATGGCTGGTCTGTGGATTGACTGCCCTTGTATCAGGTGCCCATCCTTGATCCAACTAGCCCATCCATTGGATGCACACTGAGGGGCTTCAGTCATTGCTCACTGACCTGTTCTTTGGGTTTGACCTTTGGGAGCCCAAGAAGGGGCATGGCAGCATTGCTGCTCTTTGAGTCATTGCTCTATGGAACCCCTCTCTTCATCACCACCACTGAAGTTCACACTCTAACCATCTTTCTCCTACTAGATGTTCTTCCTGTCTCCAATCTCTCCCCTGTTGAGTGATTCTAAAAGGGAGCTCAATCATATCATTCCTTTTAAGTCCTTCAGTGGCTTCCCAAAACCTTCAGAGTAAAGTCCAAAGTCTTTACATAGACTTATCATGGCCTGACCACTGCTTGCCTCTCCAAGCTTGTATCTTGTTGTTGTTGGCCGGCCCATACGGCGCCTTGTATCTTGACACTCCCTTCCTCACACCCTTCAAGTCGATTTTTTTGAATCACTTGTAATTCCCCAAACCCATCAGGGCCCTGGAATGTACTATTTCATGTGTCTAAAATCCTAATGCCCCACTCCCCCAACATCTAGCTAGCTCTTGATTGTCTTGCAGGACTCATTTCTGGTGACACCTTGTCCTGGAAAACTCCCTCCTTGAAAGGGTTAGGTATCTATATCTTTTGCCCTCATAAGGCCCTGTGCTTACTCTATCAAAGCACTTATCACTTCATATTTTAAGTACATGCTTATATAATGTCTTCCCTCTATTAGAATTAAGTTTCTTGAGTCAGCTTTTTTTCCTCTGCCAAATGACAGCACATAGTAGACTATCAGTAAATATTTGGTGGATAAATGAATGGATCATGGCAATGAGTTTGTGTTTGCCACATATTTGTAGGCTTCTGAAATGGCCTCTTTTTCCTCTTTTGTTCCTTCCAGGATCTGGGTTTCAGTGATGAGACATGGGGTATGATGTAACCCGTTTCCAGGGGGATGTTGATGAAGACCTTATCTGCCCTATTTGCAGTGGAGTCTTGGAGGAGCCAGTACAGGTGAGTTGGTCTGATGGTTGGTTTGGTGGGGCAACCGATGGCAGTGGAACTAGTAGAAAATATCCATGGGGAATGGGACCCATGAGGAAGTCACTGTGTTCTGACCCCACCCCCACCCTGTGTAGAGGTTTGTTACAGAGGAGCAGTGGCAGCTAAGGAAAATAGAGCCTTCCAGAGCCTGTCTAAAGGTGGATGCCACAGAGATACAGTGCTTTAGATTTTATTCTGAGGTCTCTGAGATTTTTCTTTTGTAAAATGGTCAGCTGCTTGTTTCTGTCCTCTGACAGTAGCTCCGTAGCTTCCTTTCCTCCACAGGAGCTCTGAATGGGGTCTGTCTTTCTGCCCATGAGTAAACTTCTGGACTCTCCTGTAAGTTCTCTTTAATTTTGATGATGTCATGCTTTAGGTAATCAGCCAGTCTCCCTGCAGACCTCTTCTACCTGCCTACTTTCTAACAAATAGGAAGTGGGGAACTGTATATACTGACCTATTTTCTTCCTGGAATCTATTGAAAAGACCAGCTTTTGATGTAGCCATGTACTCTGCATTTTGATATGACAGCTGCCATCTTCAATAGGCCATTTCTCTGCCAGCCTTGCCAGACCAGAGTCAGTTGGAACTTCCTGGGGCAAGTATTAGGAGAAGCTCATGATTACCAGGCAAGTTCAATGAGTAAGATGAATCCTTAACAGTTGTATTCATGGGACATCATTTTACATGATCTTTATTGCCTTCACTCTGTAAATACCAATTAATCCTCTACCACTTTGGGCTAGCTAAAGATAATTCCATTTTGTAAACCAGGACAACAGTCAGTAAGGTCTCATGGCCCTTCCCCCATTCACTGCTTGTGTAACTCCGGGGGACTCCCTTTGAGCCTTTGAGTTTATTCTTTCTCTCTAGTTTCCAACCACCCAAAGGAGCACAGATGCTTGAGCCAAATAAAATTCAGACTGCATTCCAATGGCAACCAATCCTGGACCTATCCTCTTTCTAGGCCTTTGCAGCGTACTGCCATTAGAGGCATATTAGATGGGTGTGTAGCAAGCTATCCTGGTAATGTCAGGAGGTCATGGGGTGTGTCATGTTCTCTGCTCACCCTGGCAGGGCATTATCTATTTTGGGGCACTACCATTTGAGGTGAGTCACTTGAGAGAGGAGTGTTAGTTGGTGACAGTCTAAGTCAGAAGCCACCCATCCACCTCTAGAGTTGACCTTCTGAAGAGCAGGGCAGGCAGGTTACCAGACATATTTTCAAGGATAGTGGGCCGGCCCCGTGGCTCACTCGGGAGAGTGCGGCGCTGGGAGTGCTGAGGCCGCGGGTTCGGATCCTATATAGGGATGGCCGGTGCGCTCACTGGCTGAGCGCAGTGCGGGCGACACCGAGCCAAGGGTGGCGATCCCCTTACTGGTCACAAAAAAAAAAAAAAAAAAAAGAACTATTTGGGCCAGCCCGGGGCTCACTCAGGAGAGTGCGATGCTAATACCAAGGCCACGGGTTCAGATCCTACAATAGGGATGGCCGGTTCGCTCACTGGCTGAGTGTGGTGCTGACAACACCAAGTCAAGGGTTAAGATCCCCTTACCAGTCATCTTTTTAAAAAAAAAAAAAAGGATAGAAGGCACCTGCTAGGGATGCTTATTATTTATTTTTTTAATAAGTAGTAAATTTATATTCAGAAATCATTAGTATAAAAAGGTATATAGTGAGAACTCTCACTTTCATCCTTGTCCACCTGATCCTCCCATAGGTAACTATTTTTTTTTAGTTTATTTGATATCCTTCCAGTGTGTATTCAGGCAGATGCAAGCAAATAAATATGCTTTTTGGTCCACTTTTCTTATACAGAAGTTAGCACATTCTGTATATTTCTGTAGGGGTGGCAGGTTTATATAGGATGGTCATGAAAGAGGTGTCAGTTGAGCCAAGACTTGAATTATAGAATCCTTCATATTAAGATCTAGAGGAAGAGCATTCATTTCAGGCAAAGGGGAGCAGCAAAAGCAAAGGTCCAGAGGCAGAAATGAGCTGGGTTTTGTCAAGGAACAGAAAGAGAAAAAATGTCCCAAACACTGCAGGGAGTATGATGTGAGGTAAGAAGAGGTCAGAGGCATAGAGCCACATCAAGTAGAGTTTTATAGGTCCTGAGTAGGAATTTAGATTTATTGTAAATACAACGGGGAACCATCTGGTTTGCATTTTTAAATGATCACTCTAAATATAGAATGGATTATAATGGGGCAAAGTAGAAATAGGGAAACCAGTTATAAGACATATTTAATAATTCAGGTCAGGCTGGCCAGTTAGCTCAGTTGGTTATTGTGCAGTGTTATAACACCAAGGTCAAGGGTTTGGATCCCTGTACTGGCCAGCCGCCAAAAATAAAGAAAGAATTTAGGTGAGAAGTGATAGCAGCTGGAAATGGGTTAGTGACAGTAGAGATGGTGAAAAGTGGATAGATTTAGGGATTTTTTTTGGAGATAACGGTCTGTAAGACTTTGAAAAGAAGTATGTTTTTCAGTGAAAAATAAAAACCTGAAGGCTGGATTATATCTCATATTTAGAATGACTTTCCTTATGAAGCTTTTCTGTGTTTCAGTCTCTGGTGCCTGTGAGCATCTTAAGGGCAGAAACTTTTTTGTTTTTAATCTTAACACCTAGTAAAGTGTTTAGGACACAGTAGGCATACTAATCATTCATTCATCAACATCTGCTAAGTGCCTACTATGTCCCATGCTAAATGTCAGATGGTGTCTACACAGAGGCCAGAGAGTCCTCTCACCTTGAGGGATTAATTGTAGAAGTTACCTGAGTTATCAGGGAAGTAGGCTGAAATGATTGTTATGAAAGTGAAAAGGATTTGATTCTGCAGAAAACCTCAGCCCTGTTTAGGAGTCTAGGCATGGCAACACTGTGGGCTAGCCCTCATAAAATAAGAACTTGGGTCCACACATAGAGGTCTTTTAAACAGGAGTCCTGGGCTTTTTTTTTTTTTTTTTTTTTTTTTGGTGCTTTCTTATCTCCTCTCCTCTCTTCTGTAGTCTAAATCATTCTTCAAGACCAATATCGAATTCTGTCCTCTCCATAAATACCTGCTGTGATTGACCTAGCCTGGAAAAATCTCACCCTCCTCTGAACTATTTTGGCAATTACTATGTATGCAGTCCAGTTGGCAATTAATAATTGGCTTCCTTATATCATCTCTCCTATTGTCCTGGAATGTTATTTATACCAGTTATTGTTAAATAACTTTTTACTTGTCTTGTCTCACAACCCATTTGTAATCTTGAGCACAGGAAACATATGTTAAACCTGTCCCCCACAATGCCTTGCCCATAGTAGACTATACTCTGCCGTGACCCCAGGGACCTTTGGTCCTAGAAGCTGCTCAAAGGCTTGGTTGGCTTTGTAGAGTTATCATATCCAGGCTCTCAGCTCCTGCTAATTCCCTTGTGCCCCTTTTACCCTGCTCTCCTTTCTAGGCACCTCATTGTGAGCATGCTTTCTGCAATGCCTGCATCACCCAGTGGTTCTCTCAGCAGCAAACATGTCCAGTGGACCGTAGCGTCGTGACGGTCGCCCACCTGCGCCCAGTACCTCGGATCATGCGGAACATGTTGTCAAAGCTGCAGATTGCCTGTGACAACGCTGTGTTTGGCTGCAGTGCCATTGTCCGGCTTGACAACCTCATGTCTCACCTCAGCGACTGTGAGCACAACCCGAAGCGGCCTGTGACATGTGAACAGGGCTGCGGGTGAGATTCCTTCTCTTCTTCTGCCCCATATGGATAAGGGCCTTCTCATTTATACCCCCGTCTCTGGATGCCTTGCTCACTAGCTGAGGAGGTCTCTGCATGCTGGCAAGAATTCTCTTCTTTGGCTCCCTGCCCCAAGATCTCTCTCTCTTGCTGCTTTTCCAACTATGATCTTGCTCTTGCTTTAATAAAAGAAGGGGAACAGCAATTCAGCAATCTGTGATAACACTGAAGATTGATTCATTTTATTCTTCCCTTTCAGTCCAATACTACTTTCTCTTTGTCAGGTTGACTGCTCTAATTTCCAGCCTTCTCATATTTCCTCTTGCCCTATTTTTTCTTTCTGTGGGGTATAAAAAATTTGATTAAATGCTGATAGCTGAGGCTGTGAATCTAGGGCTTCTCAGAAGGAATAAGCGGATAGGCAGAATCTTTAGGAGGTAGATAGAACACAATGCCTTGGGCAGGAAAAGTGTCTCAGAAAAAGTAGACAGCAGAGGGTAAGGACGAAGCTTGGGAGAAGAAAGTGAAAGGAATAAACAAGAGGGAGGCCTGGGCCGACTCCGTGGCACACTCGGGAGAGTGCGGTGCTGGGAGCGCAGGAGCGCTCCCACCGCGGGTTCGTATCCTATATAGGGATGGCCGGTGCGCTCACTGGCTGAGCGTCGTGCAGCCAATCACAAAAAAGAAAAAAAAAAAAAAAAGAGGGAGGCCTGAGATGAATGTTAGAAATTTTGGGTAGTAGAAAGCCCACTCAGCAATTTTCTGCCACAGAATAGACCATTTGCCCACATGTCCCATTGAATTCCCTTGTTTTTTCTCTTTCTCCACCCTTGGTGGTAGCCTGGAGATGCCCAAAGATGAGCTGCCAAACCACAATTGCATTAAGCACCTACGCTCAGTGGTACAGCAGCAGCAGACACGCATCGCAGAGCTGGAGAAGACGTCAGCTGAGCACAAACACCAGCTGGCGGAGCAGGTAGGGCCCAGAGAACCTGAGGGAGAACATGTCCCTCATATGCAAATAACTGTGTGCCTGTGGATGATAAACACCACTTGTGAACACACAGGCCTGTGCTTGTGATCCTGGGTGGATGGATACTCTACCTGCAGCTTAGTAGGAAATCAGACCGGAGCTTTTCTCACTTCCCTTCATCCCATTCATGTCATTCGTTCACCAGAAATATATCAAACACCTTCTCTGTGAACACACTTGGCTAAGCACTTGGGAGACAGCTATGAAAGACACAGTCCTATCCCTGTCTTCCTGAACCTTCCTATTTCTCAGTTGCCCTCATTCTCAAATAAACTTTTTTGTTTTTGTCAGCTGGTCAGTATGTCAGATAAACTTTTGTCTTTTATCTGCTGTCTGCCTTAACCATCATCCCTGATTCTCCTTCCCTCCAACAGAAACGGGACATCCAGCTGCTAAAGGCATACATGCGTGCAATCCGCAGTGTCAACCCCAACCTTCAGAACCTGGAGGAGACAATTGAATACAACGAGATCCTAGAGTGAGTGATGGTCAGGACGTGGAGTCACTCATGCCACGTCTTGGCACAAAGGTCTGGAAGGAGGAAGAGCAGGGAGTGGGAGAAGGAGGGCAGTGAGAGAGCTGGGCTGGGGCCACCGCTTCTCAGATGTTGGGATGAAGGACAGGGGCAGAGGAGAAGAGGATAATCCTCAACTCCAGTACAGGATCTCCTCTTCATTTGGGTGGATGGAAGGGAAAGCCTGCCCAAGGATGCAGTTTATCCAGAGTTAGGTCTGAGTACCCACCATGTACAGAGCCCTGTATTAAAGGCTGTGGAGTGCTGGGAGGGCCAGAAGAAATAGAAGGTATCACCCCTGTCTTTAGGTAGCTTACAACCCAGAGATGAGGAGGCAGAGTGCGAGTCCAGGAAAGTGATCTAAAACGCAGCAAAAACAAGCAAAGTAAACAAGCGAAGTCTAAGTTCCCTTTCATTTATGGAGTCATATACAGTTCATAGACTAAAATGTGTGAGTCAATATACATAGTGCAGATAGTGCTGAGTGGGACATAGAATAGAGGAGTAATTGCTTCAGTCAAGAAACATTTGTCGAGCACTCACTATGTGCCAGGCACTGTGTGTGCTAAGTATTGGGATTTCAAAGAAAAATAATAAGGACAGAGTGTAGACTTGTGGAATTTAATCTTGTGAGTAACATGTAGTAACTCAGATGGGACCAACTAGGAAGAGATTTGGGGTTTCTGAGCCAGTGATGGAAGGAAAGAAGGAAGAACAGAGTTAAGCTGAGTACAGAACAGGTGTTCATTCCTATTAGGAGAAAAAGCCAATGCAGAGAAAGCAGATGAGCTTGAATGACCACCTCCAACCCCCTCCACACAGGTGGGTGAACTCCCTGCAGCCAGCAAGAGTGACCCGCTGGGGAGGGATGATCTCGACCCCAGATGCTGTGCTTCAGGCTGTAATCAAGCGCTCCCTCGTGGAGAGTGGCTGTCCTGCCTCTATTGTCAACGAGCTGATCGAAAATGCCCATGAGCGTAGCTGGCCCCAGGGTCTGGCCACACTAGAGACAAGACAGATGAACCGGCGCTACTATGAAAACTACGTGGCCAAGCGCATTCCCGGCAAACAGGCTGTTGTTGTGATGGCCTGTGAGAACCAGCATATGGGTGATGACATGGTGCAGGAGCCAGGGCTTGTCATGATATTTGCGCATGGCGTGGAGGAGATATAGGAGAACTTGACGGGCTGTCAGGAAAAGATGGAAATCAGGAAATCCCACCACTGCAGCAGCTGGACCCTAAGTCCTCCCCATTATCCTTAGTATTGTGGCTAAACTTGAGCCATACATCTCCCTGCTCTTCTGGCACTGAAGGGCCCTGGCGCACTTTGCTCAACCTTTCAAGGTGGGAAACCCAGATTCCCTCCTTTTGCCATGTTTCTTCCCCTAAAGTGTCTGTAAATTCTCAGTCCATGTGGGAAAGTCCCCATCTTTATCTATTTTCCTGCCTCAGGTCCCTGGTTCCAGATATTTTTAGAAAGCACAAAGAGATTCATTTTCCTTAAGAGGATCAGGGTGGAGTGAGGAATCTTTAATTATCCCCCTCCTCCGAAACCAGGGAATCAGAGCAGGCAGACCTGTTGACTCTAAGCCACATTTAGATGGCAGCTCTGGGGAGCAGACATCCTGAAGAAATGGTGAAGGTGCAACCAAAACCCTAGAAATAAAGTGAGGCCAGCCTTGGGAGAAGATGGGACCTCTATGCCAAGCAATATCCCTGTTCAGTCCACCTTAAAGGTGCAGGCTAAGGCCTAAAATTTCCAGATGAGTTCTTCTTTCCTGCACTTTTTCATAGTTACGGCATGACAGGGTTGGGGGTAGGGGTTAGTCTGTTGGAGCTGATGTGCTCAGCAAGAAGTTGCTCTCTGCTTTTGCTGAAAGAGGGTAGGCACTGCCTCTTGTGGCACAGGCTATGATAGTTCCGTAGACCCCTCTCCAGCCCTGTGATTGTAGTTAGTTATTTTGGTAAGTTTCTTTGGCCACTGTTTGTTTATATTTCACAATCCCCACCTGCTCTCCATTTCTTTCTTTTTTTTATTTTTAAGAATGGCCTGGTTATGGCTACTCCACTTTGTAGCTCAGTCACACTGTTGGCAATTTAATTTATTTATCTCCTTTTTTTTTAAAGAAAGGATAAAAGAAAAAAAAATCAAAACTTAAAACTTTTCTTTTGCTGTTCCTATTGTGGGGATTCTGGATAGGGTGGGACAGGGATGGGGTCTGTTTTATATTCTTCCTTTTCAGCATAAACTTTGGCTTTGATATAGGAAGAGCCAAGTGAGTTCTTGGCTGAACTTACGATGTCTGTCCCAACCCTCTATAACCTCATCTGAAATGAAGAGCTTCCTCTACTCCCATGATGGATGTGACAGTCCAGCATTGATTCCTGTGCTCCCTGGAGAAATTTGCTCCCAGCTCTTCCAGGGTCTCATCATAAAACTCTGAATTTAAAGTATTAATTTTGAAGACACCCGCCTCCTCCCCTTCCTTGGAGCTATACAGCTGGGTTCTAAGCTTCACAAAGCAAATGGGATAGAAATTATATCTCTATGTCTTTAAGTACAGGCTATGCTCTGCCTCATCCATGCCCCCATTTCAGGTTACCTGGGGCATTCCTTGATCCCTAGGATGACTGGCAGAATAAGAGAAGGGGAAGGATAGTAGTCGTGTTTATTTTAATATGCTGGTGGGAGTGGGGTTGGAGAGAGATTGAAAGGCTCTTCCCCAGTCTGTAACAGCTTCTTCTGTTTTTGGAGTTTTATTCCAGGCCAGCTTGCTCTAGGTCTGGTTAGTTGAGTCATGGCTCCACTGAGATTGGGGTGGAGGTGTACAGCTTGAGGGGAGTAGGAACAGTCATATGTTCTAGCTCCAGGATATTGTGCTCAGGAATTTGAAAACGCTGCTATTGTTAGTCTGGTTATATTTTTTCCACTCCCCTTTGCCCCTGCCTGCCTTACCAAGGCCCATACTCTCCTGTCCTAACCCTCATATGGAGCCAGGGAACTTGGTTAAAGCTTCCCTACCCTTTGCACTAGTATCTCTGCAGGTTGCTGGTTGTGTTGTGTGTGCTGTTCCATGGTGCACTAATAATAAACCTTTTTACTGAACTCTAAATTATTAATTCAGCATCACTCTCCTTCTTGTGAAGGAAGGTTTCTCCTCTGCTTTGGCTTTTCTCTCACCTTAATTCCCCTTCTTCCTTGCTTTGTAACCTACCCTTATCTTAGAACTAACCTGTTTCTGGAGGATGTCTGTCTGGTAACAGTGTGCCCTCCTACAGCCTTCCCTCCTGTCTCCTGTTCTGTAGCAGCCAAAGCTCACTCTCCAGTGATCTGAATTGTGTTCCTTCCAGGGTCTGCCTTTACCCTAAATATCATGTCTTCCCTAGTGCTTCCTGGGATTTTGGGATACTTTCTACGGAAGAAATGCATGCCCCCTTTCCGCTGTCCCATAAGCACCTTTGCTTTGGAATATAAAATTCCATTGCATACAGGGAAGCCTCCACCCCCTAATATGTCCTAACCAAAAAAGTAAATGTGAGGAAGGGAACCTGAAATAACTATACCTGCTGTGGTTGTCAAACCTAGATAAAGCATTTGCTTCCACCTTCTCCCTGTCATGAGAAAAAGGAAATCTCCCCTCCCCACTAGAACTGTATTTTAAATTTGTTGAGCATTTACCATATACCTAATGTAAACCTGATAGTACTCCAGATACTCCAGTGGATTGACGGGAAAAAGGCATTTCTGTGCTGAGTCTGCTTTCATACGCACAAGGTATGATTATAAAATAATGATGAACACGTCACAATGTACAGCATAAGCAGCAATATATGTACTCTAGTGATACTAGTAGTGCTCTTTTTTTTTTTTTTTTCCTGAAACGCCTTCAGAATTACTTCCAGAACCTGCTGCTTATTCTTTTGAATGTCATGAATGGTGTTGTATCTTCTTTTTAGAGTTGATTTGATTTTTGGAAACAAATATTCATTGAATGTCTACCCTGCAAGATACTCACGAGGGTGGGTTTGTGGGTTCATGTAAAAGGGCACCTTGAAAGAACTTATTCCCTAATGCAGATGAGTATATAGTAAGGTATAATAAATGTGCTAAGTGGATTTACTAGCAATATGTGAGCATAGGAAGACAAAGCCATTGATTCTGGTGGGTATGAGGAAAAGTTTTTCAAGAGAAGTGTTATTCTAGATTAGAGGTCAACAAACTACAGTTTACAACCCACTGCCTACTTTTTGTAAAACATTTTATTTGAACACAGCCATGTCCATTTGTATTGTGTAGATAATGCATAAAGTATTATCTGTGGCCACTTCTGTATTACAACAGCAGAGTTGAGAGTTGCCACAAAGCCTAACCTTTACAGAAAAAGTCTGCCAATCCATTCTAAACTTTTAAGATTAGGAGAGTTGGGGAAAGGAGAGAGTAGAGAGGACTGACAGTTTTAATTTTTTTACTTCAGTATAGTATATACATTTGAAAAATCTGAACATTTTTGTACACTGTCAGAATAACAAAATTAACAATGTATCCTTAATAATCTAATGCAAACCCATATTCACATTTTCAGTGGTCCCAAGAAAAGCCCTTTTATAGCTAATTTAATCCAATCCAGGACCATCATTACATCAGGTTATCTCTTAATTCTGTTTACACTTTTTTTTTTTTTTTTTTGTTTTTTTTTTTTTTTTTTTTCGTGTCCGGCAACGGACCGCAACCCTCAGTGTCGTGCCCGGCCCGGGCCCGGGC